CCTCATGCTCCCAGAGCTCCATGGGGCCCCGTGCTCCCTAGCTGTCCACGCCGCTCCCCTGTGCACCAGCTGTCTACACGTGGTTCTCACATTCCCATGACACTCACAGGTTTCCTCCGCTGTCCTCAGTCACAAATGGGTGGTTCCCACACTTCCCAGATGTCCATGGAAGGTCCTCACGCCCCCAGGAGGCTCACAGATAGTCCCCGGCTGCCTCAGGCTCCCCCCGACCCCAGGGTCAGCCCATCCTGTCGGTCCAGTTGGAAGGCTAGTCTATCAGGGCCTCTCCTCCAGAGAGGCTGGTGGCGGGGCAGGAGCTGGATGCTGGGGGCCGTGGGGAGAGGCCCGAGGAGCTGCGAGGGCATCTCACCTCTCCCCCAGGTAGTCCCCGATGGCCGTCTTGTTCAGGCCCTCGCCTTTGTACAGGAAGCGGGCGATCTCCTCGGGCGTGTTCTGCAGAAGTTCGTTCTCCACCAAGAACTGGATCCCCTAGTGGCGGGGGCGGGGGGCAGGTCTCAGTGCAAACGTGCTCAGAGGGCCATTCCCACCACGTCCCCAGGAACCTCCGTGTCCCAACCCACCCCCACGCAAGCAGAGTGGGCCCAGAGTCATTTTCAAGCTTCTCCCAGGTCTTTTAAACACCATCCCTCTCACCCCACAGCCTTTGCACCTGCTGTTCCCTCGGCCTTTGCCTGGCTAATTCCAGCGCCCAGAGCAGAGCTCAGTGGATGTTTGCTGAGTGACTGAACAAACCACATTGCGTGGGGCAGGAAGAACAAAGTGAGGAAACAGCAGTCCTTCAAGTGCTGTGAGGGCCAGGGCCCAGGCTGGGCTCCGGCCTTCTCTGATGCCAAGAGGACCTCCCTTACAGCTCCATCTCACTCCGGCTGCGGTAACCACGTCTAGGGGCTCCTTGAGGGCCAAGCAGGGAGGACCGCCTCTCTAGATCCCCAGCACTGCCTAGCCAGGGAGGCCTGAGGAACTGGGCATACAATGAACGACTGAACGAACAAATCTTCCTCCACCCGGTGAACACCTACTCTCCCTTCAAAACTGACCTGGATACCCCCTCCTCAGGGAAGCCCTCCCTGACTCCACCGGGCTCCCTCCCCTGAGCGTCCACAGCCATTGTGCCTCCCAGTAATGGCAGTGGTCAACCCTCCTTTGTGCATGTCACTGGAAATGTTCCCTAGCAGATAGGAGCTCCTCCTGAAACTCTAGGTGGCACCAGAAGCGGGTCTAGGAATAGGAACAAAAAGGGGAAAGGGGATCTCCCAGGCAGAGGGCACGGCACAGGCAAAGGTCAGGAGGCCGGAGACCTTGGTCAACGTTCAGAGAACAGTTAGACAGCCAATCTCTAATTCCAGGGATTAAGACCAAGTCTGTCCACCTAAAGCAGGCCTTTAAACATCGTACTTCTGGAACCTCGAGGTGCCAGAAACCCTGCTGGGAGGTCTGCCAGGCTGACCCCAGCCTTGTGGCCCCAAGCACCTTCTTGGGGTCCATGTTGAACTTCTTCCTGCCCATTGCCATTTTCCGGTTCCGCTGCAAGGTCTTACTGCAGGGAGACAGAGAAAGGGGACAGGGGTGTCAATGCCTGGGCACCCCGGCCTGGCCCCATGACCCCCAAGTTCGCCACCTCAGCCCTCACCTGCCCTCATTGGCCTCCAGACCCTCCACCTCGCTCATGGCTTCATGGAGCTCCTCGCGCAGGCGCTGGATCTCCACCAGCAGCTCCTGCTTCCGCCGCCGGATGTTCTCCAGCTCCATCCGCTCCTCTGGGGTCAGGTCTGGGGGCTCTGGGGGTCAGGGGTGGGAGGTCAGTTCTGGGGACTGGGAGCCTGTTTTCCTGTAACCTAGGGAATTACAGGGCTTGGGGGACGGGGCATGACTCCTAGGTTCAGGGGGAGGATGAAGATGAGGTCGGGCGTCCTGTGTCTGCCAGAAAAAGGGACTGGGAGCTGAACTCTTTGGGTCTGGGGGAGAATGGGCTGGAAGACTGAATTGTTGGTTCATTACTTGGAAAGAGGGCTTGCGCCTTGGTTTTCTGCTTCTATTCCTGGTGATGTAGCTACGGCCCTGGGTGTCAGAACTCCTGGGTCCATGAAAAGTAACTATGGCAGGGGAAGCTGATGACAGCTCGTAAGACTTGGGGAAGGGGGCGGGGCAGCCAAGGCCACGGTCTTAGTGAGATCTCTATAGCCCCAAGATTTCTCCCTCTCCCCACCGCCCCCAGAATCCCCCCTCCTTGCTCCCAGCAGGCACTGGGCTCGCCCGGCGCCTCCAGGGGGAATGGTTCCGCCCGGCCTCCTCGACTCCACCGCTCCATCCCGCCCCCTCCCGCCGCCACCGGAAACAGGATCGGCCCAAACAATGGCCTGGAACGCCCCGCTCTCGGGGCCCGCCGGAAGCCCATCCCGTGCCCCACAAAAAGCGAGGCACCGACGACGGTGTCGAACAGCTCCGTGAGGCACGCGCCAAGAGAAACGTTCTCGGTGGAGCGTTCGGTACGGGGCGCTCCATCCGCATCTAGCCGACCCCACCCCTCACCGACCTACCATAGACACCGTCCTCCATGGCGGCTAGGAAGGCCCGCGGGGAGTCCGGGGCGGTCCCGCCGGTCGGGCCTGGATCCGCGTTGGCCCGCGGGCTCGGGTGAGCCCGCTCAAACGCCCCAGGAGCCACCGCCGCCTCCTCAGCGCCAGTCCTCAGCGCTGAAAAGACTCTCCCTTCGTCTTCCAACCGCCCCGCCAGTAGGGACCGCCCCCCGTTTTGACACCGTCCAATCCACTGCGGGCCCTCTCGTCTGCTCCGCCCTCGATATTAAAGAACCGTTCTCCCGGGCCAATAAGCGCACAAGGAGCCTACGTAGCAGCGTCCTGCTAGAGGTAGACGGTCTGTGGGGCCAATCGGAGTGCGGGCCGGGAGCGGGGCACCGCCTCCGAAACAAAAGAAGTCACTTGGCAGGCTTGCCTCTGATAAGCCTCGGCAAGGAATTGCGCGGAGGTGGAGCTACGCGGGAGCATAGATGCCTGCGCCTGTGCGAGGGCTCTAGACACCTAGATACTAGTTCAGACGAGCCCGGCCGCTAGTTACACGTTGGTAGGGATCGGTACTTTGTTAGTCTTGTTGCCAGAAGGCAGGGCCACAGCTGTGGGTTGTTTCCTTGAGCCACACCTCCTAGCGATCAAGCCGCCTTTCGACGGCAGCCGTTGCCACTCAACCGGGAAGCAGCTTTGGCTCACCTTTCTCCGCCTTGTGGCTTCTCCCATCTCCAGACCCTTTTCTTACCCCTCCCATCACCCTGTGTACCCCGGCCTCTTCAGAGTTAGGAAGTGATGGAACAAAGACTTATTCTTTCTTTTAAATGCTATGCTATTTTGCATCCGTCAGGGAGAATGGGACAATAGGAGAAGGCCAAATACAGTGAAAGCTCAGGTTCCGGCCATCCTGGCGCCTTGTACCTCAAGCCCCACCCTCTCTCCCTAAAACTCCTCCCCTTATTTTAGCATCCTGTCCCCCCAAGACAACTTCGCTTTCCTGAGCACCCTCCCACCTTCTCTGATTCCTTACCCCCTTCTCAGAGTCCTTTCCCTCCTCTCCAGCTTGCCTCACTTCAGGTTTACCCCTCATCTCACACTCTCGCTCTTCTTAAACTTCCTCTTCTCAGAGTCCTCCCGTGTCTGAAGCCCTAATCCCACCTGAGCCTCTCACTCCCATTTCTGGCAGCCAAAGCTGATGCAAAGCTTTCCGCGAGAATGGAAAACTTTGGCACGCTGTCATGGGCAGGTCCTTAACTAACTGGGTCTGAGGAAGTGCCTGGGCCTCATCCTCATTTGCCACCCCTGGGCCAGGCATATGGGGACGGATTCAGGGCTTGGGCCCGGTTAAGCTGGCAGATGAGACATGGAGCTTCCTAATCTCCTTCCTCACTGACCTTTATGCGTGACCCAGGCCCTGGCCTCCCCAATGGAAATCAAGCCTGTGCCAGCCCTGACCCCAGTCTCTCTCCTTCCCAACAGAACCCTTTTCTTGTCCCTTCACCTCACGCCTAACATCCTTCTCCATCCCTAATTCCATTGCCCCCAGTGTCTACCCCAGACACCCTGAGCTGGGAGAGCAGCCAGCTAATTAATCCCATCCGGTTATTACATGGGGATTCTGAAGGATGAAGGGAGGCGGGGGAAGCCAGAAGAGGGGACCTGGGTTGGTGCAGCACTTGGGCAGGCTGATGGGCCATGGCGGTGCCCGCCCTCTGTCCTGGGACATGGGTGGGAACAGGTTCTTCCTGGCACTGGTTCCTCCTGCGGCTGGCTTCCTGCCTGCTGGGCACTTAGGTAGACAGGAACATGGGAAAAGGCCAGGCCCAGACGCACACTCCCAGGCACAGCACTGGGGCTCTCAGTGGTTTAATCTGGGGGACAGTTCCCCCCTAAACAAATACATACCCCTGTCATTCACAGCTACCTCCTTACCCTGGCCCCCAAGCTGGACCAGGGAGGAGGCGCTTCTGGCCCTTCACCACAGCCCGCACTACACGTTGCCTGCTCTGTCATTCAGACATCCAAGTTCAAAGCAGGCCTCCAAGAGCATCTCTCATTGCAGCTGGGATTTAGAACAAAGCTTCCTGAATCCTTATACAAGACTCCATTCCAATTAGCTCCAGCTCCATTTCTAACCCTTCTGTAAGAACCATGGGAAAATGCCCTGGCTGGTGTAGCTCAGTGGGTTGAGCAGCTACCTGCAAACAAAAGGGTCTCTGGTTCGATTCCCAGTCAGGGCACAGGCCTTGGTTGTGGGCCAGGTCCCCAGTAGGGGGTGCACAAGATGCAACCACACATTGATGTTTCTCCTCCTTTCTCCCCACCTCCTTCCCCTGTCTAAAAATAAATAAAAAGAAAAAGAAAAAACATGGGAAAATATAGATAGATATCTGTATTTATATTATATATAATACACATATTTATAACATCTTTAAGAAGTAGAAACAGATTGGGCTAGGTGTAGGATTCCAGAGCACTGTAGACTCACCAGCCTTGGGCCTCTCCCCTTGCCTGACAACGAGCCCTGTTCTCCGCAGGGCCTTGCCTGGGCCCTCACCTTCTAGGGCAGCCCAGAAATGCTGCCTGTCGAGTGTGAGCCCACCTCCTAGAACTTCCAGGTTTTGATAATGGACAACTCCGGACCCCTGAAGCCTGGGTTCCTTTTGGCATCACAGAACTACAAAGAGATCATCTAGAATCGCCTCTCCTCCCTGGACTCTGTGATCAATCTAGAGCCACAGAACCTTGATTCCTATGGACATTCTAGAATAGCACTTTAAAAACAACAACTGTGGATCATTTAAAAGCACTGATCATCCCCTTGCTTGGATATTTTACAGCCAGTGGTCTGGAGTTATATCAGGGACTCCCAATGTATCACATTAGTCCTTCTAGACCCACAGACTCTCCATGGTTTTGTGCATTCTAGAAACATAACTCTTTAGTTTCTGGAGTTTTACTATCTAGGTCAAATCTGTTCTCAAACCACCAGTGCTTGTCTCAGTGGTCCATCTAGATTTGTAGAATCTCAAGACATGGACTTTCTAGAACCACAGGTCTTTTCTTGACTTGGAGTCAACGTTCCCTATCCTTGGTCAATCAAGAGAGTCCTGAATTCTTGGGGCATTCCATGGTTTTCCCTCCTTAGATGGTCTAGAAAAAACGATGTGCTCCTTGGTTGGCTGAGTCTCAAGGCAACAGTTCCTTGAATCTTAGGTCATTCCAGACCTATACATTCTTGATCTCTGTCGCTGCTTGAGAACTGCTGACTTCCTCCCCCAGAGGCAGTCTAGACCATTGATTCCTGACCCTGCTCAACAACCCGAACCAGCCATATGGAAGAATCTAGAACCACCAGTCTTTGTCTCTTCGGTGGTCCAGAATTCTGGTTCCCTCAACCTGGTGAGACTCAGGAATCCGGCTGATAAAGGGGTCTCAGGAAGGAGCACAGACGCAGAGGAATTAAGATCCAGTCTGTCCATAGTGGGTCCACTAGGCATGGCAGAGCTTCACCAGCCAGCAATTAATCCAGCAGGCCTGGCAGTCTTGGGAACCACCTGGCCTCATCCGAGGAGAAGACCCGATCTCTCCATCCTGCTACTTCTGGGAAGGGGATACAAACCGGGAGCGGGAAGGGCGCCAGCTGGCATCACGGCGGCAGGGGCAGCGCCAGGGTTGGCGTGAGTGATTGGGAACTGGCAGCCCCATCTTCTGCCTCTGCCTCATCACCACCGTTGGCTTCTTCTTCTTCCTGGCAGCAGCTCAGAGCAAGTTCATTTTCATAACAAAATGCAGCCAGAGAGCCGGGGAAGCTAGACTTGGGGCTGTGGAAGTCCCGCTCCGCCCGTTCATCCAGCTCCTTGGCGCTACAGACTGGCGTCCCCGGGACTTCGTAAGTGCGATGGAAGTGGCGATAGTCGACCTCATACTGGGAGCCACGCTGAAAGAGGACCGGCTCAAAACGATGGCCCCAGAGCAGCTCACCAGGGAGATATGAAGAGCGACACTGTGTGGTCATAGCTGTGGCCTCAACCATGCCCTCAAGAATGACCACTAGCTCAAAGTCGGCCTGGGCCAGCTCGGCACGCCCTAGTTCATAGAGAGGGCTGGAGGGGTCGATCTCATGCACGATGGTGATGGGAGACACGAGGAAGATGCGATCTGTGCCACCGTCAAAGCCCACGTCCACGTCCTGGTGGTCCAGTGGTATGTACTCACCTTCTGGAGTCACACGAGGCTGCAGCGAAAGACAAGGGGCCACAGACAGACAGCAGGGAGCACGGAGGTGAAAGGAGACAGGGATGGCGATAGAGAGGAACGGAGGGGCAGGGAAAGAGGAGACCGGCAGTGGTGAGGGTGGGGCGAGTAGAAGAACCCAGACAGGGAGAGGGTGACCCAGAAAGAAAGGAGGACAAAGGCATGAGGGAGGGGACAGAGACCCAGAGAGAGGGGCATGGAGGCCCAGGGAGAGGAGGATGGAAGCCCAGAGAAAGAGGGGACAGAGACCCAGAGATAAAGAGAAAGGGACAGAGACTCGGAGGGTTTGGGGTTAGAAACCCAAGGAAGAGACAAGGGAGAGAGGAAGAGAGGGCCAGAGTGTCATTGGCATAGCAAGACAGGGATGAAGTTAAAGAAACATGATAAGAATGGCATCCAAGCAGCGATTGGAGAAGAAGAGGCAAAGAAAAGTGGCTTTCAATCAACGGCCGGAGAAAGATAAACCAGGATGACAATCTAGGTCCAACAGCCTGTGTTCCACTGGTGCTTTAGGCTGGCCCCTGGGCTCTCCGCACACGCCCCACCCCCAACCCAACCACGAGCGCTGCATCCCCCTGTGTACATGGGGGTTGTGCGCAGTCGGGGTGAGGATATGAGGTCCACAGGCCAGGCAGCGGTTGTTTCAGCCCACCTACCCACTGGTGCTTACCCGCCTCCCAGGCCGAGTCAGCACCCCACAGACTTCTGGGATAGACAATACCCCTCCCACGCCATGAATCCTGGTGTCTCAGTCAAGCAGGAGACACAGGTGGGGGGTAGGACCCATTCTCTCCCACCCGTCCGCCTCGGGGAGACTCCAGTCACTGCTGGGAGCTGTGGTTCTTATCGTTGCCCTGTCCCCCTCTCACCCAAGTCCAACCTCAGCCCAACATTAAATGCCTACTTGGACAAGGGCAGCTAGCCCTAGACTCTGGGCAGTTTGTCCACAATTCTAGAAACACTAAAGCGCCTTTTGCCCAGCGTGGGAGGGAGCCCCTAACCCAGGAGCCGATGGGAGTTGTTTCGTTTCTTGCTGAGAAGCTAAAATTCAAGTTTCCACCCCGGCCCTGAACTCCTCCAAGCAGGAGGCTGGTGGAAGAGATTGGGCCACTGAGTTGGGGAGCAGTTTCCCACAAGGCTGCTCAGAGGCCACAGAGAATTGTGTTCCCCAGCTCTGCAGGTGCAACCCGCACCCCATCCTGGGATCTACATCTCCCACAATCCCACAGTGGCCAGGCCTCAAGTTATAGGCTGCTGGGAATTGGAAACCTGAGCTGTGATTTACACAGGCCGTAACACTACAGCTCCTCAGACCACCAATCCAGGGCACTTTCGCTGCTCAGAGGCCTCTGGGAGTTGTAGTTCAGAGCCTTTACAGGCCAGGTGTGGCCCCATCAGAGTTTAGATTTTCCACAATCCCATAGGGGTCCCATTTTCAAGGCCTAGGATGCTCTTTATGTCTCAAAATCTTTCTCAAGTATGGGCCTCCAGGAAGAGTTGGTCACAGACTTTTCTCTTGGGTTCACACCTCCTACAACTGCTCCAGGACTCAACCACAGGCTGCAAGTGGGTCAGGAAGGCTCCTGTCCAGGAGACTGCTGGGAATTGGAGTCCCCGCACCCTCCAGGGTCGAGGCACACCTCGCCCTCACGCCTACATCTCCCACAATCCTTCGGGGTCCCCCTCCACCCCGTGAACGGCCCCTCCCTTGGGCGGTGGCCTCGCACCTGCAGCAGTTGGGCCCGTACGTGGGCCTCCACGAGGTGGCTGCGGCGCAGGTTTCCGACGCGCCACATGAGGCAGAGGCGGCGGTCACGCAGTGCTACGACAGCGTTCTCGCTGAAGACGAGCGTCTCGTTGCGTTTCTTGGGCTTGGCCATCTTGGCCATGACGGCGCCCACGACGAAGGCGTCGAGCACGCAGCCTGCGATGCACTGCAGCACCACGGCGGCCACGGCGGCGGGGCACTCCTCGGTGACGCTGCGCACACCGTAGCCGATGGAGGTTTGCGTCTCCAGTGCAAAAAGGAAAGCAGCCAGAAAGCTGGCCACGTGGGAGAAGCAGGGCGCGGGTGGCGGTGGCGCGGCCAGGTCGCCGTGCAGCGAGGCGATGAGCCAGAAGGCCAGGCCGAAGAGCAGCCAGGAGGCGAGGAAGGAGCAGGAGAAGAGCAGGCACATCCAGCGCCAGCGCACGTCCACGCACGTGGTGAACAGGTCGCTCAGGTAGCGCGCGCCCTGGCCCCCCAGGTTCACGAAGCGCACGTTGCAGTGGCCGTCCTTTTTGACAAAGCGCCCGCGGCGCCGCCCCACCGGCGACAGTGCTGGAGCCCACCCATTCCGGCACACCCCTGGCCTGGCCTCCTCCTCATCGCCCGCCCTGCTGTCCCCCGACTCCAGGGCACCGCTCAGGCGGCGCAGGGCCCTGGCTAGGCCCATTGGGCGGGGACGCCCCCTCCACTCGGCCTAGTGGCGGGCAGGCGCCCCAAACCTGCGGGGACAAGAAATGGGCAAAAACGTCAGAGGTACCAGGAATGGGTGGGCATGCTCCCTGGGCTTTAGTGGCCTCATCTGGCAAATGGGTGGAAGGATGCTCATCTTAAAAGTCAGAACGGTACAGCATCAACGACGACAGCAATAGTTGTAATGACAGCAACAAGACTCCGGCCATAACACCACCATTCTACAGCAAGCACTGCCATACTCAGAGCCGACATTTACACAGAGCCGCCCTTTTGAGCGCCATACGTGAATTTTCGTATTTGAGCCGCACAACACTGGACACACTATTATCCCTATTTTACAGATGACAAAACTGAGTGTTTCACAGAATGTTGAACTTGCCCAAGGTCACGGGGGATTAAGCTGGGATTTGAATACTAGCACTCTAACTCCAGAGCCCAAACTCATGATGACTGGGTGGTCACTGCCTCTCAGCATGGAGTCAGCACTGGAGAATGAGCTGGAGCGCTGAGGTCCCCGGGGTTCAGAAACAAGCTCAGAGCCCTGACCCACGTGGCTGAGTTGGTTGAGTATCGTCCTGCAAAGTGAAAGGCTGCTGGTTGGACTCAGGGGTCAGGGCACCTGCCGGGGTTGCAGGCCAGTCCCCAGTTGGGGCACGTGCAAGAGGCAACCAGTGGGTGTTTCTCACATTGATGTTTCTCTCCCTCTTCTCCCTACTCTCTAAATAAATAAATAAATAAATAAATAAAAGCTAAAAAAAAAAAAAACCCAACAAGCTCAGACAGTGCAACAAAAGAAAAAAGATAAATTGAATTTTATTAAATTTAAAAGCTTTTCTGCTTCAAAGAACACTATCAACAAGATGAACAAAGAACCCACTAGTGGGAGAAAATAGTTGCAAATCATATAGCCAAGAAATTTGTATCTAAAATATATAGAGTCCTTGCAACTTAATAATAACAAGACAATCTAACTTAAAAATACGCAAAGGATCTGAATAGACATTGCTCCAAAAAAGATACACAAGTAGCCAATGAGCACATGAAAATATCAGCATCGTTAGCCATCAGGGATGCTAATGAAACCAGATACCACTTCACGCCTGCTTATGAAGGCTATGATGTTAAATAATACGTAAACCCGAAAATAACTGTTGACAAGGATGTAGAGAAATTGGCACCCTCCACAGCCTGGCAGTTCCTTAAATGGTTCAACACAGAGTTGCCATGTGATCCAGCAATTCCACTCCCAGGTATTTCCCAAGAGAAAAGAGTGTCCACACAATACCTGTACACAAACGTTCATAGCAGCGCTATTCACAGTGGCCAAAAGACGGAAACCACCCAAATAGCCAACAACTGATAAATGGATAAATAAAATGTGGTATTTCCGCACAATGAAGCACAACCCAGTAGTGAAAAGAAAGTCCTGACACATGTTATATGGTTGAACCTTGAAAACATTACGTGAAAGAAGCCAATCACAAAAGACCACACACTGTATACTTTCATTTATATGAAATGTCCAGGATGGGAAAGGCTATAAATTCAGAAAGCAGACTAGTCAGGCCTAGTCTAGATGGGAGGATTGGTAGTAGCCAGAGGACATGGTGTTTCTTATTGGTGATACAAAAATTGTTCCAAAATTGATTGTGGTAATAATTATACAACTCTGTGAATATACTAAAGACCCTTTAATCATACACTTTAATATGTGAGTTGAATGGTATGTAAATTATATTTCAGTGAAGCTGTTACAAAACACGTGTGCGCACACAAATCCTAGGCTCCCTCCTGACTCTCAGACCTTGGGCAAGCCTGTCTGAGCCTCGGTCTCTTCAACTGTAAAGTGGCGAAACTGGGCTTCTTCATCGAGGACAGGAAGGGCCTCTAGACACAGAGACCCAGGGCCCACCCCTGGCTCAGTTGCTGACCCACTGCGTGCCCTCGGGCAACTAACTTCCTTTTCTGGAGCCTCCGTTTACTCATCTGTGGGGTAGGGATAAAAAGCCACCATCCTGAAAAGAAAGATCCAGACGAAAGACGACTCTGGCTGTCAGAGACGGGTCTTCCAAAAGGGGGAAGTTGCTGCGGAGGGCAGGTTTGAAGTCAGGATCCAGGCTCTGACCTTGGCATTTGTGGTCGCCTCCTGCCCAGAAGTCCCCACTGTGTGCAAGTCTCCCTCTGGGGAGCCGCGGCTGATAGGGTAGCCGGGGGCAGGCTGGCTCCTACCATCCCAGCCCCGTGCTGTGTCCACTCGCTTGTCTCTAACCACAACCCTGGGGACTCTGCTTTCCCAGGGAAGGAAACGACCGTAGGCCTGTCCCTTGGCTCGGATCCCTCGGCCGGGGGACGGCCCACCCTGGCCCCTACCCCGGCTTCTTGGGGCCAAAGCCCAAGCCACGATGTTATCGCAGGGTGTCCCGAGCGCCTGCTGTGTTGCGGGCCCCAGGAGCAGCGCCCCTCGGGTGCCCGGAACCCCCCCCCAGACTCCCCCAGACCCCACAGCTCACCTTGACTGCTCAGGACGCTGGGCGGTCAGGGTCATGGGCTAGGCTCACGGGCAGGGGAACAGGCTCCGAGACCCGGCCAGGCCCAGGCAGTGCGAGGGTGGGTGCCGGTTGGGTCCCGAGCCTTTCCAGCCCAGGCGCTGCCTCCTAAACAAACCCCCCAGTCCCGTGCTCAGCCAGGTAAGGCAGCGTGACTGTCCGTCTCACAGAGCAGACGGGGTCCGGGCTTCACCTCCAGGGAGCCTTCTCTGCGCCCACCACGGCCCAGCTCTCAGGGCTGGGCGCTACTGGGACTCAGGGCGACCCCTCCCTGGCAAAGGCAGGACCTGAGGGAAAGGCTCCAGAGCCTGAAGTCCTCCCCCCATACCCGCCCCCCCACCTGTGAGAGCAGCTTAATGTTTCCATATAAAGGAAACAGGGGGCTTAAGGTGCCTTGGTGTCAAAGTCACTGTCTAATCTGAGGCCAAGAAGCTCCGCCTCCAGGCCCAACCTCCCTCCCTCCCCAAAGAAACACGCTCTTCAGGGGATCCTGGGTGTTGCCCCCTACCTCCCCACCTCCCAGCGGGGCCTGGGGCGCAGGCTGAGGGCAGAGCCGGGCGGGACGGAGCGGAGGGGTAGAGGCTGGGGAAAGAGGGCACCGAAGCTCAGGTGAGCAGGAGAGGGCCGCTGAGAGGGAGCCTGGGAAAGAGGGGACAACAGAGATGGCAGAGGGGGACAGAGACCCAGGGGGTTGGACGGGGCAGAGGCGCAGGGAGAGGCACAAACAGGCAACGAGGAGCAACAGGCAGTGGAGGTCGTGGCTTAGGAAGCGGGAGGATGACGTGGTGGAGCTGGAGACTCAGAGATGGGGCAAGAAAGGGACCGTTGAGATGGAGGATTTGGGGGGCAGTGAAGAAAAGCAGACAGCGGTGGGGTCAGGGTCGGAGGCTCCAAACTGGGAGAGATCGTCCTCAGGTTGGGCAAGACAGGCCCTCTGCATGAGGGAACGGCGAGGGTGGGGTGGGGACGCGAGGGCAGATGCCCAAGCCAGCGGCGGGGGTGGGGTGGGGGTGGATGGAAGCGGGTGGCCCTCAGCCCCGGGCCGCCTGCTCGGGGGCTCCGCGTGGAACACGTACCTGGTGGGGCGGCCCACCCCCATGCCCTCCGCTGGGGGGCTCTTCTGTGGGTGCCGAGGGGCTGCGGTCTGTCCTTGCACCCGGGGGCCTTGTGCTGGGTACTCGACCTCTGTGTCCGCAGGCGGATCAGAGGCCTGAGGGGGGGCAGGGGGTGGGGCCAGCTCGGAGCCGCAGAGGGGGAGCCAGGGAGGACGGCCAGGCAGGCCGCTGGGACGCAGCCCAGGCAGGCTGGAGACGGTGGCAGACGCACAGAAGGGGGAGGGGGCAGGGACACAGGGTGTGGGGACCAGGAGACAGGAAGGTGGGGGCACCAATGAGGGAACATGAAGTGGTGAAACCATGACAAAGGGGACAGTGATGGAAGGAAGGAGAAACGGGGGCTCCCTGGTTCCCCGAGGTGAAGCCTTAAAAGGTGGGGGGCGGGGGGGTCACAGGTGAAAAACCTCCAGAGACCCGGAGTGAGTTCCAGATATAATCAAATTCAGGGAAGGCGGAACCGGGCCGCACCCAGCAAGCTGAGGGCTGAAGCAGGGGCCAGATTCCAGCCCCTCTGGCCCGTTTCCTCACAGGATGAGACTCACACACGTCAAGCCTCTTCCGGTCCTTTATTGCCTCTCAGGCGCCCCCGACTTTGCTCCCCGCATAGTGCCTGCCTTCAGCACAGAGAGCGGGGAGAGGCCCATGCAGGCCCTTCCCCGACGGGGAGGTCCTGGCAGCAGGAAGGGTCAAAACCTAATCCTCCTGGAGAAACCCATTAGACAGAAACCTGGTCCACCCGGCGTAAAGCGCGAGTTCTTGGGGCCACAGGGTCAAGCCTGAGTGTCACAGCTGGCAACGTATCCATAGCAACTTGGGCCACACCAGCCCCGCCTGTGAAATGTGCCGACAGTCCTTTGAAGGGAGGGTGACAGAGTCCTTTGAAGGGTGCGGAGAGGGGATCACTGGGCCGAACCAAATCTTTGGGTGGGCGGGGTCCCTGGAGTCCAATCAGTTGTTTCAGAGGCCCGCGGGGCAAACCGAGTCCTTTGGCTGGAAGGATCATTGGACCAAACCCAGTTGTTTTAGGGAGTTAGGGGTCAATCCAGTCCTTAGGCAGGAGGGGTCACGGAGCAAATGAGTCCTTTCAAAGAACAGTACGTCCAGGAGAGCCCACCCTGGCCGCCAACGGGCCAAACGAAGGCCTCCTTCCCGAGGGGACTGGCCTGCGGGTCTGAGTGAGTGTCCTCCCGGGGACCGGTATCGGCTCCCAGGTGCACGGCCAGGCCAGACGCCGCCGGGCCCACTCAGACGCTGACGGTGCGGAAGACGGTGAAGCCGGACAGGGCGGTGCTGACCAGGACGCCGGGGCACTGCGGGTGCCAGTGCAGCTCCTTCAGGTCTGTCTCGCCCTGGTGCACAAACAGCAGCTGCTGTGGGAGCTCCGCCAGGCCAGGGTCCGCCTCTGCGTCGCCCGCCTCGGGGTCCCGCTCCACCGCCAGGTCCCACTGTGTGATCTGGTTGTCTGCACCCGAGGCTGCGAAGACCCCACTGTCCTGGGGATGCCACTCGACGGAGGTCACAGGGGCCACGTGCTGCTTGAACGTGGCCACCGGCGAGCCAGACTGTGGGAAAAGAGGGACCGGGGCGCTGAGCGCCTCAGCCTGACTCCTGGGGTGCCCAGCCAGGGTCCCCCACCCCTCTCTGGCCTCGAGCTTCAACCAGGGCTGCACCCTTGAGACCCCACAGGCCCAGATTCTCTGAAAGGGACAGAGCAAAGCAGAGCTGCTCATAAAGGCGTGGTGCCCCGGGGGCTGCTCGGGACCCTGGTTTCACCTGCAAAGAGGCCCCTCCCAGGAAGGGGCGGTTCTGCAAGAGTTCTCACTGCTGAGTCTAGGGCCTTAAAGGGGGCGACTCCTGGGCTCCAGAAGTAGCGAATAGGACGCTTTCCCTAAACAAAGGTGCTGCTGGGGATGGAGTCTCTCCAGTTTGGGGAAGTGGCCCTGGCTGGTGTGGTGCACTGGGCGCTGGCCTGCGAACCGAAGGGTCACCAGTGTGATTCCGGGGCAGGGCACACGCGCGGGGGCGCTGCGGGCCAGGTCCCCAGTGGGGGGCGTGCAAGAGGCAACCAGTCGATGTTTCTCTCCCTCTCTCTCCTCCTCCCTCCCCTCTCTCTAAAAATAAAGAAATATAATTTGGAGATGTGGCCCCAAAGTTCCAGCGAATCAACTTGGCCACGTGACCTGGCCAGACGCCTGCCTTGGGCTGACTCTACAGAACCTATTACACTGGAGGGGAAAGAAGATTACAACACGGGGTCCCGGGAGGGTAAGGAGCCCTAGGAAGTTAGGGGTTTGCTCAGAAAGATCCTGAAAGAGGCAACTTCTCCTGCCCAGAACCCCTCTCAGCTCTACGAAGTCACCTCTGGCCATAATGTCACATTTGGTCCTGTCCTTTCTATGCCTCAGTTTCCTCTCTTGCAATGAGCAAGTGGAGCCTGTGATGACTCTATAAAATCCACTGAAAGAGAAAAAACTACAACTCCCTGAGCCTTCGCGTGCCCAACGGCACAGCCAGCCGCATGCCCCCGGCTCTGCATGGGCAGATGGGAATTGTCGTCTCTGCCGCTGCCCAGCCTCTCCTGCCTCCTGTCAGCTCTCCAGCTGGGAGGGTGAGTGACTCCCCACCTGCTGTTTCCTCAACTGTTTCCTGAGCCTGTTTCCTCAACTGTCCCCCGAAAGGAGGGAAAACCCATAGGTCCTAGCGGCTGCCGGGAACAGGAGCTTCTCCAGCCCCGAGTGCCCAGCTGGGACAGTACCTTGAACTGCCGCAGGTCCCAGACCTTGAGGGCCCCATCATCCCCGCCACTGAGCAGGAAGGGCTCCCGGTGGCTCCAGTTGATGACGTTGACATCCCCATCGTGGGCGGTGGCAGTGGTGAGCATGCAGGCCTTGCTGGGGGCTGCCCGGATGTCCCAGATGCGGATGGAGGCATCGGCTGAGCAGGAGGCGAATACCTGGAAAAGGGGTCTGAGTGACCCAGGGTTCCCCCCACCCGAGACCAGGCACTAGTCGTGCGCCCCTCACGAGGACCTGCCCCCGGCGCCCTCCTCCCTTAAGACCCAGGAGTTCAAGCCCCAGTCCTCCCTCACCGTGTCCTCGGTTGGGGACCACTGCAGGTCCTCCACGGAGCGTGTGTGGCCCACAAACGGCCGCTGGTCTACATGCCAGGAGCCGCCATCCGTAGGCGTCCAGAGGTGGATGTTCTTCTGACAGTCGCCCGTCAGCAAGCGCCCTGGGGAAGGGAGTCAGGAAACCGCCTGGTCCCAGCTGGCCAGAGCTCGGTCCCCTCCCCGGAGTCTCAGGGCACCGCCCCCGACCCCTGGCTACAGACCCTGCCCCCTCTCACCCCCCAGGACCAAGTATGCCGCCCCAGGGACTCACCGGGCACACGGGGGGACCAGTCCAGCGCAAAGCCCTCGCCCATATGGCCAGCGAAGGCGAAGATGGGCTTCACACGAGCTTGCTCGTCCCGGAGGAAGGTCGCCAGTGCCTGGGAGTCGTCGACTGCCTGCAGAAGCCGCCGCAGCGCAAACACCTCCACCTGGCCCTTCTCCGACCATACCCCAGCCACCGGCTCCTCGCCCAGCCAAGACACCTGCGGGGCAGAAGGACGGGAAGGCGAGTTCGGACAGGAGACCCAGGGCAGTGAGCGCGGCTTCCAGCAGCCCTGAGAACTAGGACTCCAGTTCCTCAGGCCCCAGCCCCAGGGGCTGGGACCACAACCCCAGAAACCTTTGTGGGAAAGGACCACAGTGTGCAAGGCCAGCTTGGTGCCCAGGACAACTCCCCGCGCCCCCGTGGGACAGGTAGTGGCGGGGGAAGACCAGGACTCCTTCAAGATTCCTGGGAATCAAGGCTGTGATTCCCACCAGCTCTCCTCGGACTAATGGGCTCTGTAACCCTGTAGAGTGGAGACTCACAGGCCACAGCCCCCCGTCTGTTTGCGCACAAGGAGATACATTCTCAGGGTTTCCAGTAGCCCCTTGGCCCTGACCTTCCTTCCCCTTGAACTCCAGACTCCTATCACACTGACCACTCAGTCTTCCCACGAGCAAAGCCAAGGGGCTCACCGCTGACTGCAACCTACTCCTCACCAAACTGCAGAACTTACTTTTGACTTGTCTCTTCCTCACAACCACCACCTATTCTGGTTCCACTAAAAACGCACCACCTCTAATCCCTTCTCGCTACCTCTGTTGTTGTCACCCATGTTACCACCAATGTCATCCTTCCCTGAACTACAGCCTCTCACAGGACTCTGTCCTTCTGCACTTGCTTCCCCGCGGCCGATTCCCAGCACAACAGGCAGAGGAATCCCTTTAAAACATAAGTCAGCCCTGGCTGGTATGGTTCAGTGGCATGTGGCTCACTGGATTGAGTGCCAGCCTATGAACCAAAAGGTCGCTGGTTCGATTCCTAGTCAGGGCACGGGCCTGGGTGGCTGGCCAGGTCCCCCGTTGGAGTGATGCAAGAGACAATCAACTGCACACACTGATGTTCCTCTCTCTCTCTTTCTCCTTCCCTTCTCTTCTCTCTAAAAAAATAAATAAAAAAATTCAAAAGACAAGCAGATCCCATCTTTCCACTGCTCTAAACTCTCCAGTGGCTCCAAATTTCTCCCCAGTAAAAGCCAAGACTTTACAGTGGCCTACAAAGCCCTATACAATCTGTCTCATCTATACCCACCCCTGAAATCTTGTATCCCTAACCCATCCTGCTCTAAACACACTGTTCTCCCTAGTTTCCCTCAAAACTCAAACATTCCAGGTTCACCCCGGGGCCTTTGCACTTGTTTCCCTTGCCTGCCAGTCTTTCCCCACAGACCCTGCGCTCACTCCCTCACCTCCTGCAGGTCTCTGTTTAAATGGCACTTCATCAGTGATTACTTCTCAGACCACGCTATTTAATATAGCAACCTACTCGGAAACACCCTAACCCCCTTACCTGACTTTATTTTTTCCTCTATAACACTTAGCACTTTTAACATAGTACACATCTGCTTAGTTTGTTCTTGTTCCCTTCTCTGCTAGCATGTAGGTTTCATGTACCCAGAGATCTTTTGCTTCCTGTTAAATCCCCAGGGTCTAAAACGGTGCTTGAAACACAGAAGTACTTTAATGGAGACACACAGCAAGAACCACACACTAAGCACTGCTCTAAAGTGCTGTTTACGTGTCATCTCATTAATTCACACATCAACCTAATCAGAAGATGCCACATCCCTGAACCAGCAAAATAATGCCACAGCTCAGAAGAGCTCCTAAAAACAAAACAAAAAACCACCTAGACACACTACAACCAGATGCTCTTTCTAAGCACCTGAAATAACTGGATTTCAGTTATTGAAATAATCATGTTATTCATTCCATTTTACCCTCCCATCAGGCGAATTTTGTAACTCTCAGCATTTCACATAAAAAACATAAAAAATACCTCCACGGCATCCAGCACCCAGGGACAGTTTGGAATAGCTAAGACATACATAAATGAACAGAGACAACTGTAAGCCCTGTTCTTTCCCAAAAGCCGAAGGGCACGAGGAGGTACAGGTACCGCGGGTGGGGGGGGGGGGGGGGGGGGGGTTGCGCTGCAGAGAATGCAGGGCGGACTCCTTAGGCTCTGTTTACCCGAACTCGGTTGATACCACCATAATGGGGCACCATAGCCAATTCCAGCTGAGGCTTCCGCTCTTCTTCATCTTCTTCATCTTCCTCCTCCTCCTCTTCATCACTGCACTCTGATGGCGGGCGCTTTGTCCCATGCAGGTTGTGCATCCGAAGCATCATTAATCTGGGGAAAAGTGTCATGTGACTAAGGCGCTGGATGTCGGGGTCCTTAGGGAGGAGAGATGCAAGTCCGACTTCTGGGTCTGAGGGAGGCAGAAGCTGGAAACCCTGCCTCTTGGGTCCTGGGGAACGAGGTGCTGGAGGCTGCATCCTAGACCTTGAAGCAGCCACAGGCTGGGGGCTTGGACTCCCGGTCCTGGCATAGCCTCAGGTCTCACCCACCTGTTGCTTTGGGCACTCTCCGCCTGGGTCCCAGCACACAGATAAAGTGTAAGAGGAAACTCTGACCGATTGTCTCCAAGGTGATCCCGAACTATGTCAAAGCTGAGACAGGGGGCGCCTGGGGCGGGAGGAAAAGATTGGAAAATTAAGAAGGGATAGTGGGGTCTCAGGCCTCTCCAGTGTGATGTCACCCCTCTTAGATCCCACTCTTCTCTTTCATAGCGCCTGTTAAGGTAAAAGCGCAGAACCTCATCCCCTCAGGACCCAGGATTCCAGTTCCCTCGTTCCTCAGGACCCAGGGGTCTGAGTACCCAGCCCTACCAGTCTGCGCTCGGTGGTACAGCACGTAGGCCTCCTCGTCCATAACCAGCTCCTCTCCTTCGCGTAGCGGAGGCCCTCGGCCGGGCAGGTAGACCTGGGCCGGGCCCTCGGACCCTGCGTCGCGGGACTCGGCCTCCATGGGTTCCTCTGTTTCACACGTGCGTCGCCGACCCTTGCGCGCCGCCATCTTAGGAGCCTTTTACCGCGGGCGCGACGTAAAGGCGTCACTTCCGGGTTGAGCTTCCCACCCCCGCCCCCCGGAGCTGGCCCTTCGGAGATTTTCCAGGCTGCGCGGTTACCTTGGAAACCTTCTAGTTCCCCTTCCAGATTAGAGAAGACGGTAGGGAGAGGGAAAAGGAGAATTACGGTAACGGCGTCCCGGTTTAGCCTAGGAGGGCTGCGGTGGATGCCGAGAAACCACACGGTCCGCGTGACTTTGGGCGCTCTTCCGCGGAGCAGTCGCAAGGCCTCCTGGGAGTTGTAGTTCTGCGGGAGGCCTATGTTTCCCCATCAACTAAAGGAGTTCTGAGCCTCTGTTCGATTTTCCACGTTTGACTCCCAGCGCTTTATTTTCACTTAGTCGATTGTTCATGTATGCAAATAAGAGCTCTTACTGACAAGGAGCGCGAGTTTCTGTTCTCTGAGGACCCATAAAACCGGTTTCTTCTCCCCTCCTTGTGATGGTGGCTTTAATTTACTTCAGAATGCTCAATGTAAACAGGCTGATAATTACGCGCAACTTATTTGGTGGACTCTACCCTCTCAGGGACGTCAACTGCCTAACCAGGATTTCACATTGCAGCTATGGTCAGCGAGCACTTAATCGGACAGTCCACCCTTTGGGGGCAGCTATTACAAGTGCTTTGACTCTCTATCACCCATCAGCACAAGAGGTTTGGCTAATTGGCATAATGAAATGTTAGAAATATATTCTCATTGGTGGGATTAACGGTATTCAGGATATGTGGGTTGGCTGGAATGCCTTAGACACTCTCCTCGCTTGCATGAACAGGCTATTAAGAATCTTGCAAGCCTCATTGCCTGAAGCCCTAGGAATGGGACCCTAGACTTGATCTTAAAATGGTTTTATCCTGGTTCTTTCCTGAGTTCTCTGTCCTCCATATCTCTAGGTCTCTGTTCTCCCCTGCCCCTTCGCAGCCCTTCTCTTCTTAGGGTCTTTTTTCCGCCCTCCTCTTTCTGGGCCTTTGTCTCCCATCTCCCTCTAGGATCCCTGTTCTTGCTCTAATTCTTTCTGCCCTTTCTCTCTGTGGGGCTTTTCTCCGTTACAGTTTCCTCCAGATGTTTGAGGGGGGCTGAGAGACAACGCGGAGCTCATACTTTGACCGAGGAGGCATAAAAACATGGTTTATTCCAAACACTGTAATATGGAACAGGAGAGTGGGGAGGGAGGTTGGTGGCGAGTGTGGACTCCCAGATCCTCCCTTCCACAACCCAGCTCCAGGCCCGGCTGGAGATCTGGGAAGAGGAGGCTTGGGGGATGGGGCGGGGCGTCTGCTGGGTCATCACTGAAGGGTCACAAATAAGGGCTGGATTTGGAGAGGATGTGTTTGGTGGCACCTGGGGCTGGTAGTGAGGTGTCACAGGGTGGGAAGTTCTGGGCCCTGCGGGTTGGGATCCACGCTGGGGGTGAGGGAGGCGGGGCTTCCGTTGGGGGCGTGTCCTATGTCAAAATAGGGAAAGACGACCAAGGAGGGTGGGAAAGGAGGAACGGGGTGTCCCGGTTTGACGTCAAGGGTCACAGTCTGGTCGGGGCACAGTCTGGGGTTCGGGTCACAGTTTGGGGTCAGGGGTCACAGTCTGGGGTCGGATGACCATTCGTAGGGGTCGGAAGTCACAGTCTGGGGTCGGGGGTTTCTGTATGGCGGGGCCAAGGTCTAGGGTCACAGTTTGGCGAACGCGTCTCACAGTTTTGAGTCCCGATGGATGAAAGGTTAAAAACGGGCTTCCCCGGAGGCGTGGCTGGGACCGGGGAGCTGCACAGTGATGTGAGGGCCACGGCCCCAGGCGTGGGGGTGGGGCGCGGGCGTGGCGTGAACCCCCACCTCCCGCCCCATCTGGTGACATTAAAAAGCCCTTGTCGGGTTTAAAAAAAAGTCCAGAGGGCTCTGAGACCTCCTCCCTCTCGCTCTCAGGCTGGGTGAGATTCGGGGAACCAAATCCCCTCGGGCTCACAGTGCCTCGAAAACGAAGGGGCACGGGACGCTGCTCCAGGCGGGGTCCGGCCAGTTCCACCTTGTTCTTTCCCACCTCACGCGGGTCCTTGTCCACTGCGCGTGCCCCCTCGGGCCGTGGCCTGCGCTGACCGAGGGGACAGTTGGGCCCCCGGGGCCACGTCATACCTCGGACTCGAGGCTGGAGAAGTGCGCTGAGCCCCGGCGGGTCCCCAGGTCTCCGCCCCGGTGTCTGCGGTGGGACGCGGTGGGCAGCGGCGGCCCCCAGTGCGCTGCATGCAGGCACCGGCGCGCGTGGCGGGAGGGCCCGGTGAGCCGGCGCGCGGGGGCGGCGCGGGGACAAGAGCTGAGGTCCTCAAGCGAGCGAGAGGTGGGCGCGGGCGGCGGGAGGTCCCAGCCCCCAGCGGAGCGCCGGTGCCGGTGGTGGTGCGGGGCAGGGGGAGCGGGCACGCGGTGCGAGGCCCGCGGGCGGTGCCCGTGAGGCCGCGGGCACCCGCAGCGGGCCCGGCGACGGGGCGGGGGTCCCGCGGCCCAGGGAGGGGGCGGCGGCGCCCACCAGCCGCCGTCCAGGCCGTCGTGTGAGCAGCTGAGGTGGCGCGGCGGCGGCAGCAGCTCCAGGCTGGCACAGTGGCGGCAGTGCCAGGCGGCCGGGCCGCTTCGCGGAGGCAGGTAGTCCCAGCTGCCGGCGCGCCAGCCCCCGAGCTTGTCGACCGACCAGTAGCGGCCGGGCGGCGGCCCAAGGCGCTCGGCGTACGGGTAGGGGAAGTCGGCGAACCACCAAGGCTCCAAGCCACCCAGCGACGCGCCGCCCAGGCTCTCCGAGTCCTCCGAGTCCGACGGCGACGGTTCGAGGTCGAGGTACGGGCAGGGGGGCGGCGCGCCGCGGCATGGAGGGGGCGCACCCTGGGCCCCGCCGCCCGCTCCCCCTGCAGCCCCGGCGCCGCCTGCGCCCGGCCCCAGTAAGGGCTGGCTCTCGGGGTCGGAGCGCGGCCAGCGCGCGGGCGCCGGCGGGCTCTCGTCCTCGTAGGCCAAGCGGCAGAGCGGCGGCCCGACGGCGGTGGCCGCGGCGGAAGGGGGCGCGGGCGGCGACGGGAAGCCGGAGTAGGCGCCGGCGGAGGGCTCAGGCGGCTCCTTGTCCCGCACAATGGCGAAGTAGGAGGGCGGCGGCTTCTGCGGAGGCTGTGCCGCCGGTGGGGACATCGGGCGCCCGGCCGCGCCCCGGGGCGCTGCGCGCGCTTCGCCCACGCCCAGGCCCTGAGGCTCGATGGGGCCGTAGTAGCGGTGGAAGCCGTCGGCCAGGCCCGCGACCCCCGGCGGCCCCGCGGCTTTGGCGCGGCGCCAACGATCCACGGCGGCGCGCTCGCGCGGCAGGAAGGGCGCGGGACCGGGTGCGGGACGCGCCGCCGGGTACGCCGGGCTGGGCAGCGGCTGCGGCGGGGGCGGGGGCTTGGCCGGTGGCGGGGCTGCTTCGGCGCTGCAACAGCTGTACATGCCCTGCGGGGCACGGGAGAGGCAAGGTCAGCGCGGCAGGCCCGGGAGCACCCGCCTCCCCGTCTCTGCCTCCCCCAATTCCTCCCTCCTCTCCCGCACCTCCTCCGGGGACCCTTCCATTCCTCGCCCTCCCTGCCGGTTTCCACCTATCTGTCCCCTTCGCCCGCCTCTCTCCCCCGTACCCTGGAGAAGGCCAGCAGGAAGTCCATGCGGTGCGTGGGCCCCAGGCAGTGCCGCAGGCGCCAGTACACCAGGTGTTCCCAGGCGAAGACCAGCAGGGAGAGGCCCATGGCCACCAGGAGCATGTAGAAGACACCTGCCATGTTGTCGATGTCCAGCTTGCTGCTCATCACCTCGATTTTGTCATTGTGGCAGATCCCGGAGAGCCACAGCCGCTCCAGCATCTCGATCTCATCTGGGGGAAGGAGGGGGGGAAGGGCGGGCCGTCAGAGGTCACCTTCTGTGGGCTTCCGGGAGGACCCTCCTGTCTGATGCGGGAGGCCAGGCCCCCAGTCGCCCCCGCCCTCAGCCACCCTCGTGCAGCCGCACCGTCCCCCAGGAACTGCAGGAGCGCCAGGTCGATGGGCCGCTTCCAGCGGGAGCCCTTGTGCAGGGCGATGCCGTAGCCCGTGGTGGCAAAGACCTTGCCCGAGCCGATGGTGACGAGCTTGCAGCCCTCGTCCTTGCGGGCCATGTAGTTGAGCACAGCTGCATCATAGATGAAGGCGTCCAGCTTCCTGGGGGCAGGGGGCATGAAGGGCAGGGTCAGCCCCATGCCCGAGCCCTCATGACCCAGCCCTGACCCCCTGCCCCCACATCCGCGCCAATCTCCAACTGCTCCAGTTACTAAACTGTAACTCTTTTTGAGCAGGCTGCACCTCTTAGCGCCTCAGTTTCAGTATCTATAAAATGGGGATAACAGCTATACATCCCTTGGGGTTGCTGCAAAGGTTATATAGTGCTTGGTGCAGAGGAAGTGCTGGAGAAATGTTAGCTGTGACTGTTAATGAAGCTATCACTCATTAAATCTTCACGGGGCCCTCCAAAGGAGTCCTATATGCTCCTTCATTTTAAAGAGGACTGAGGCTGGAAAAGGGACCCATAAATAATGATAGAATGTGATGGGGGGGGGGTATAAGAGGGCTAAATGGTAATGGGGAAAAATACAGTAAAGATTAAATTTAAAAATCTGAAAATAATGCAGTGTTAATGATCGCTAATATCGTGCCAGGCACTATCCATCTACTTAAAAAGCTTGCCCTGGCTGGCGAGGCTCCGAGGATTGAGCGCCGGCCTGCGGACCACAGGGTCGCTGGTTCCCGGTGCAGTGCGTACGCCTGGTTTGCGGGCCACGTCCCCAGCAGGGGGCGCGCGAAATGCAACCACACAGGGATGTCTCCCTCTTTCTCCCTCCCTTTCCCTCTCTAAAAATAAATAAAATATATATTTTTTTAAAAAACGACAACTCTTAGCCCTCACAACATTCCTCTAAGGGAGAAACTAC